GGGGAGGGAGGGGGAGGGGACGGAGGTAGTGGAGAGAAAAGAGAGAAGTTACTAGGCAATTGTAAGCAGGTGATCATAATGTGGAGGGATCAGCACAGAGGGCTGAGGGACCACCCAGGAGGGGCCCTGTCCTGGCAAAGGGAGGAATATCAGGGAAGAAGTCAGTCCAGAGGGAACAAACACCTAAGACCAAATATTCAAGTGTGTAGAGGGGTGGGGTACATTCTGGGAACATCCTTAGATCAGCACTGAGAAAAAAGAACAGATCCAATGGAGTTTAACTGGGTATGAGGCAAAGGATTGCACTCCCCCTACCCTCTCCTCTCTGTATATGCACATATATATATGATAAAAATTAAAAAATTAAATTTATAGTTCCTAAATCTCCCACACAGAATTCCAAATGATTTATACTTAACCCTCAAGGAAGCATAAATCCCCACTTTTCAGCATAGGCTGTGTATAGTGACTTCCTTCCAAAGAGTACAGTCTGGAAAGGGGTGGGTGGGAGGTGGGGAGAGTAACTTGACAGTGGAGAAACCTGATAAACCTCAGTCAGGCGATCAAGGTCAACATCAACAGTGATAAGTGGTGTTGATGGTATGTACCCTTGATGTGATGTCATCATAATGATACTTGACCTCCCCAAACCCCATAACCCCAGTCTAATTATGAAAAACAGATAGCAGACAAATTCCAACAGAGAGCATTCTAGCTGCCCAGTGTTCCTCAAAATTGTCAAGGTCACCTAAAACAAGGAAAGTTTCAAAAACTGCCACAGTCAAGAGGAGCCTAAGAAGACTTGACAACTAAATACAAGGTCATATCCTGGATAACATCCTGGAACAGAAAGAAGATATTAGGTAAAAACTAAGGAAATCTGAATAAAGTATGGACTTAAGTTAATAATAACACATCACTATTAGTTCAAACATTAACAGCTGTCCCATGCTAATAGAAGATGTTTATTATAAGAGAAACTGGATGTGTGTTTTATGGAAACTCTCCACTGTTTTTTCACTTTTTCTATAAATGTAAAACTGTTGAAAAAAAAAGAAGAATCTATTTTTTAAAAAAACTTACTTACTTTAATCAATTAAATCATTCCTTTTATTCTGGGTCTTCATTCAGTCAACAATTACTGCTATAGTTAACTTGCACTGAGCATTTTCTAGATGTAGGCACAGTGCATGATATCCTATAATACTCACAATGCTACAAAGTAGATTTTTCTCCTTTTACAAACGTAGAAACTGAAGCATGAAAAAGCTCATTCCTGCAATTGTTTCATATATATTTATTCGTGAGTTAGTAAATGCCCCACAGGTGCTAGGTTTCTTAGAGTAAAGGCCCTGCAGGGACCTCAGATGCAACCATGCAGATTGAGCTCAGTCATGTGACCTCTGCCCCGCTCCCCCAGCTCTACTTCTTCCAGACAATGGTGTCACTGTACCATCTGCTAGCTCTCTCTAGCGCCTTTCTGCATTCTTCTTCCCCACCCCTCCAGCATCTAACTTGACACTAAGCCCAGTGGCCCTTCCTCAGAAACATCCTCCCAGAGTCTTTCTAGTCCACTGTCTCTTGTCCAGGTTGGGCCCCCATCACTTCTCCTCTGCTTCTGTCTCAGATCTCATCCACTCTGATGTGGACTCCACCCAAGCCACCACCCATTTTTCCAGAACCCACATCAGATGGTTTCACCCCCAGCCAAAATCTTCCGATGGTCCATTCAATGGCTTTCACAGTCTGGGCACAACCAGACCCATTTCTCCCATTGCCCTACTCTCAATGCTCCCCACCTCTAAATATCATACAATTTGCAGGCTTTTGCTCTTGGTTTTCTTCAGGCCTGCCTAATGCTTTTTTGCCCTTGGAAATCATACATGCACTTCAAGTCTGACCTCATTTTCACATGCTTTCCATACATTAATCCTCTCTCTCCCTGGCCCAGCAGTCAGTCCATACCTGTCTCATGGCAACTACTACACAGGGTTCTGAGGCGTAGGAGCTGTTGGATCTCCAGCTGTGAGCATCCTAAGGCATCTCTGTATTCAGGTGTTCAGGAATGTTTGAGGTATTCCCCAGAGTCAGCTTCTGTTATACCAGAGCAAAATACCCACACTTCAAAATTAGGTGCCAGTAAGTGGCCAAGACAAGGAAAGCCATAGCAGTTCGGAAGGGGAAGTTGTGTCCTGGGGGAGGCTCCATGGAGGAGGCGGTCTTGAAAGTGACTGTCAGATTAAACTTTTAGAGTTTACTGAGCATAAGCTCTATGTTGGACATTATGCTATCACAATGAGTTTTCACCTTGTTCACCTCATTTACTCTTCAGCACAGACATCGTGGGTAAGTAGCATTATATTTATTTCTGTAGTTGAGGAAACCAAAGCTAAGAGCATCAAATGCACACTGTGTCACAGCTAGTCAGTGACTGGGCAGGAATAAGAAGGCTGATCTCTGACTTTTACTCCAAAGTCCAGCCTTACATTGAAGAATGAGTATGTGGGGGATTACTGTTGTAATCAACTCAACGGGGAGTATATACTGAGTCTGTATCAAGCAAGGCTCACTTAGGTCCCACTGCATACATCCCAGGGAGCAGTGGAACCAAGAGGGAGGCTCTGGGGACAATGAGGAGGTGGCTGGAAGGACTCTGTGGTCCTGAGATATTCCTCCTGTGCCAACCAGCTCCATGCAGTGGGGACAGTCTGGACAGTCCAGACCTGAGGAATCAGCTATTTCCCTCTTG